TTTTGACGGAAGAGGTTGAATGTTTTCCTACTTCTCTGGTTTTTCATTTTAACCAGCAGACGAGTCACTATTCCAAATGTTTGTCTTGACTCTAAATGTTGAGAACATCTTCAGAAGCATAAACTTTTAGAAACACAGTCAAATGTTTTCTCTGAGTGTTTCATATGCTGAGATCATTGCTGTAAAGTCCATACTGCCATCTAGTGGTAGAAAGCCGGAGGAATCATCAATTAACTTTTACTAAAATTCAGTGAAAAAAAACAAAAAAACATTTTTAAATAACATTATAGAATAGAATAGAATAGAATAGAATAGAATGGGGTTAGGGCTATCCAACACCCTGGGGGGGGAATTGGATAGCCCCCCCTTCCCATGGATTCCATCTGGAGAACTTCAACACCCATGTATGAAACGACAGTGACAACTGGAGGGGCGTGATCTGGAGGAACAGCCCCCCATGTCATAAGGCGGTACAATTGGACCCAGTATTCAAGGTGAGACAGTCAGTAGGAAAGTTTAAAAAGTTTATTAAAATAAAAACATAAACAGAACAGAAGCGCGGAGCAGTTGTGGATATGCGGACCTGCGGCTACCACAGAAAGGGGGCAGGGCACCACCCAATCACTGAGACTCTAGTTTAACATTTCAGTCCATCCTCCCAATCATAGGAAGGATAAGCCAATGCACTGCCAACGAGATAATAATAATAATAATAATACATTTTATTTGAAAGCGCCTTATCACAACACCCAAGGACACTGTACAGGCAGATAAAAACATTAAAAACAGGAAGCTAAAAAGTACAAGCATAAAGATGCCACAGAAAACAAAACAGCAGGAAGTAAAATAAAACCAAAGGAAGAAAAGGAAGAGAACAATATTAGAGTGATGCGTAAGAACTAGATGGGATAAGACTGTCTGAACAGGAAAGTTTTGAGTCTGGATTTGAAAAGAGGGAAGGAGTCCAGAGTACGGAGATCCGGAGGGAGGGAGTTCCAGAGGTGGGGAGCAGAGCGACTAAATGCCCGGTTCTCCGTTGTGACCAGACGGGCCGAGGGAACGGAGAGCTGGAAGGAGTGGGAGGATCTTAGGGAGCGTATGGGGGTTTTAACATGAAGGTGATCTGAGATGTAAGATGGAGCCAAGCTGTGGAGGGCCTTGAATGTAGTTAGGAGGAGTTTGAAGATGATTCTTTGTTTGATGGGGAGCCAGTGGAGTTGTTGCAGGATGGGAGTGATATGATGAGAAATGGGGGTCCGAGTGATCAGGCGTGCTGCAGAGTTTTGGAGGAGCTGTAGTTTCTGGAGGGACTTGTTTGGAAGGCCAAAAAGAAGTGAGTTACAGTAATCGATGCGTGAAGTGATGAGACTGTGAACAAGAATGGCGGTAGTTTGGGGAGTGAGGGAGGGACGGAGACGAGAGATGTTACGCAGATGCAAGTAGGCAGACCGGGTGATGTTGTTAATGTGGGACTGGAAGGAGAGGGTCCTGTCGAGGACGACACCTCAACATGCAGCTCTGAGCCTTCCAGAGCGTCCCCGATGCAGCAACCCCAGTGAGCAGGCAAGACTCCGATCCAGGACAGGGGTTCAGATTTGACTGGAGTAGTTCTGGAATCCAGGAGTCCGCAGTCCGGACAGGAGTTCCGATCCAAACTGGAATTTCCAGATCCGGGTTCCAGGAATCCAACAGAGCCTAAAGGCCGATTCAGAGTCCCATGCTTTGGGCAACCAGCTCAGACAGAAACGCACAGTCACAGACAGGTAGAATCCAGCAGGAGTCCAACCGTGGTTCAGGCAAAGAGATCAGATGAGTAAAGACAGAGCCAGTTGGTGAGAGGGAACGGAATCGGGAAATCAGAATCCCTAAGGAAACGTTGAAATGCTCTCACCACTGGTTACGGAATAAACTCTCCTGAATACACTAGCTCCAGAATAATCTCCTCTCTGGAGCAGGGACATGAACTTTGGACTAACTTAAACAGAACCCACAGACACCGAACAGAGAATAAACCGAAAGAAAAAAACAATGATCTGGCCGCAAGAGCTTGAACTGAGCCCAATATAAAGGAACAGACGCAGGTGGGTGAGATCAGTGATAATTAGAGACCGGGAAGAGTTAGGCAGATGAGTGAAATTAACAATTAAGGCCAGCTAGCAGGGCAGATCATGACACCCTACTCTGAAACCGAGCAATGTTTCATTATTGGACTTTGGTGCAACTCAACATTGGTGTAAATAATGAACACCATGTTCAATCATAAGCATGTCCATTACATCTGACCTTCAGCCGCAGTATTGGACAAAAGAGCTGTCAACCGATCACCACTAGGTGGTGAGCTGGATGCGCTAGAAGAGGACAAAGCTGGAGAGATTTGGCAGAACCAAGCAAGTAGTGAGGGTCTGCTGGGGACATCTGGGGGAGCCCTTGGTCAGCGACGTGTTCAACTCCCACCTCCAGAGGAGGCTGAGGACATGTGCTCTGCCTCAATTGGCGATGCGGTTGCCAATAGGTGTGTCCGTAAGCTCTGCGGTGCCTGTTGTAGCTGCAATCCCCAAACTCGGTGGTGGACACCAGCAGTAAGGGATGCTGTCAAGCTGATGAAGCAGTCCTATTGAGCCCAGTTGGGTTGTGGGACTTCTAAGACAACAAGCAGGTATTGTGAGGCCAAACTTGCACTACCTGGACAGTTGCACAGGCAAAACTCAGGAAATGTTGTCAGGCTGTCTTGGCAGACACGCTTCTTCAACATCACATGGATGTCTGGGACACAGGGCCCATGGATTGGCAGACTGGGGTTGTGGTTCCCCTGCATAAGAAAGTGGACTTTGTGGGTGTGTTCCAACTATAAAGGAATCACGCTCCCCAGCCTCCCCAGTAAGACCTATTCTAGGGTCCTGGAGAGCAGAATACGGATGATTGTCGAACCACAGAGCCTTCTGGTTTTCCTCCTGGCCGGCTGGCCGAACTCTGAACCAGCTCTACCCCCTCTGCAGAGTCCTCCAGGGTTCATGGGAGTTTGTCCGACCACATGTTAATGTGCTTAATATCAAATGCCTGGAAAGGGCATCCGGTCTCTGCAGAGGTTCAGGAGTTAGGTCCACATTGCCAGCATTAAGTCAGACCTGTTCCCAGTCTATGTTGGACTCAGATAGGGCTCTCTGGTACCGGTCCGTTTAGAACCTTTATGGACAGGATTTCAAGGACGAAGCCAAGGACCAGAGGGGATCTGGTTCAGGGACCAGTGGATCTTGTCTCTGCTCTTTATGGTTAAAGTGGTTCTGCTGGCTCCCTGATGCAGAGACCTACATCATGCACTGGGACAGTTTGCAGCCGAGTGTGAAGCAGCTGGGATGAGAATCAGCTTCTCAAAATCCAAGGCCAAGATTGTGGTTCTCGAACAGAAAAATGTAGCAAGGAATGGGTTGCAGCGGTCTGCTGTTGTTCAGACATAACTGTGCAAAAAGGCAAAGCTCCGATTTAGAGGTTGGTCTACATTCCTTCCTTCAGCTATGATCTTGAAATTATATCGATATTGAATGATATTATGGATCCAAGTGGCTGAAATGAGCTTCCTCTGCAGGGTGGCTGGACGCTCCCTTAGAGAGAGGTAGAGGAGCTTGGTCATTAAGTAGGGGCCAGGAGAAGATCTGCTTCTCCTCCACATCAAAAGGAGTCAGCTGATGAGGATTAGACATCTTTATCTGGTGCCTCCTAGATACCTCTATCTGAGTGGTTCCAGGCATGTCTCACCAGGAGGAGGACCAGGGCACTACCCAGGACACCATGGAGGGACGTGTCTCTCTGCTGGCCTGGGAGCACCTCAGGCTTCCCCCAGCAGTCTGGGAGTTTCTGCTCAGACTGCTGGCGCCGCGACCTGGTCCTGGATGAAGCGGAAGACGAAGAAAATAGAAATGCCCATGAAAATACAAAAGGCCAAAAAGTATAAAAACAATAAATTAATGAAATCTTGTAAAAGAGGGGGGATTTTAAGATGTCCCACTGTTGTAGAATTTGTAAAATCCATAATACACAAATTCTCAAACAATGATTTTATTTTTCCAGAGTCCTGCTGTCTCCCACTGACTTCTCTGGGTAAGGACAGGAGCACCAAATTCAATTCTATCCAGTTTATTGATACAGCGACAATTCACAAAACATTTAATCTCAAGTCACTCTACAGAGACAATTGAACCAGATCATACAGTCAGATTGGCTTAAAGTTTTCTATCTAAGGAAAACCAGTTGAGTGCATCAACATTAACTCAAAGGCAATCCGTCACACTACGCACAGTTAACAGGGAGAAACCTCCAGCAGAACCAGACTCACTGTGAGCGGCCGTCTGCCCAGGCTGACTGGGGTTCAAGGAGACAGAAGCAGAGATACAAAATGCAACTATAACAGGCGGCCCATCCAGGAAACACACAGCCAGGAAGACAAGCTCGGAGCCAGCTCCCATGTCAGAGGATGAAGAGAGCACATCTAGCCAGTCACAGTCAGAAAAACAGGACTACACTGAAAAACAGGCCAAGATGCTAACATGTTTGTTAGCATTTAGAATTCTGAGAAAAAAGTCAGAGTTCTGAGATTAATGTCAGACTTCTCAGATTAAAGTCACAATTCTGAGAAAAAAAATCTGAATTATGAAATTAAAGGCTGAATTCTGAGAAAAAAATCTGAACTATGAGATAAAGTCAGAATTCTGAGATTAAAGTCAGAATTCTGAGAAAAATCTAATTTATGAGATTAAAGGTATTCTAACTTTTTTCTCATTTTATACTGAAATAAAATGTTAAAAATCTGTTTTTGTTTTTATTTTTTCAGTGACTCTAATCCTCTTCCGTATCTTTATAGACTAGACTAGAATAGAACAATTCAGAAATTCAGAATATAAATTCTGATTATAGATCAGATTTAGTGTCTTGAGCTCCGGATGTCGTGCTGCGCTCTGTTCCAGTTAAACTGATCTCAGACCAGCTCTCCTGCTCGGTCTGACTCCTCCTCTTTTCCCGCTCCGCTCCGTCGTCTGTGGATGACGCGGTGCTAATGGCCGCTGCTGCTGCTCGCTCATTTCTGAACATTTCTGCTCTCTGCCACAGCGGCTGAAGTTAGTGCGGGAATAAAGTGACCGTAGAGCGGTACTCCGGTACCAGTGGGAGGGGCTGTCGTTATCGCTGCAGATCCGTCAGTAAAGAAGTCCGGGTCAGAAAGGTGACTGAAAAAAAAAAGAAACTGTTAGTTAGCCGTTAGCCTTTAGCTTAGCTCCAGTGATGCTACAACGTTAACGTGAAGATGACGAGTTTTCCGCGACGAAGTCTACAGAAAGTTCGTTTTTAAGTCGTTAAGCTCGACCGGTTACATGTTCCTAACCCTGGAGGACGTTTGCGGTTCGGTCCGGGCTGTTTGGGTTCGGTTAGCAGTCTGTCTGTGCGACTCCAGGTTCTGGGCCTAAGCTAGCTTGACCAGCAGCCATTGTAAGTGTTACCGACTGTTTTCGCTGCACGACATCATGTGTAGCTTTCACAGACATACAGCCTGTTTGATTGGAGACTGAAGGTTGAGCTGTGAGCTGGAACCTGCAGCCCACGGCTAACAGCCTGAAGCCAATGCTTGTTTCTTGCACTTTGCAGCGAAAAAAAAAAACAAAAATCATGCATGATGGGATCAGATTGAACATTTAGGCTCCACTAATTCCTAAAGTTTCCTAGTGTGGTCTTCTCAGGGCTTTGGTAGGTGTAAACAGGTTTGGATCCCTATTCAGGAGGAACATCTGGACTGTCTGATTTCATTGAAGTCATTCTGGTTTCCAGCTGTCAGAAGAACTAGCAGAACATTACCTTACATTTTCACATCAGGGTAGCATTAGGGTAACTAGCTGTTGTTTTTCTTACACTGTTTGAAATGTTGTGCATTAGTAGGAAATTATCCACTGTGAAAGGAAGATATCCAGGAGAACCTCTCCGTGTTGCTTTATGCCCTTAAAGGAATAGTACACCCAAAACATGATTAGCCTTCATTTTCTACTCACCCCCATGCTGAACAACACTCTGGAGTACTTT